ACAAACAAGCCCAGACTTGGAAGACTAGAATAAATACGTAACTCTTTAATGCTCAGACACAGAAAAACATCCAACAGTATGAATGGTGTCCTGGAAAAGATGACCTCACCAAATGAGCCAAATAAGACACCAGAGACCAATCCTAGAGAAACAGAGCTATGTGTCCCTTCAGACAGAGAAATCAAAATAGCTGTTTAGAGAAAACTCAAAGAAATTCACGATAACACAGGGAAGGAATTCAGAATTCTATCAGATAATTTTAAGAAACAGAAATAATTAAAAAGAATCCAGCAGAAATTCTGGAGCTCAAAAATGCAACTAACATATTGAAGAATACATCAGAGTCCTTTAAGAGCAGAAATGATCAAGTGGAAGCTAGAATTAGTGAGACTGAAGACAGGCTATTCATAAACAGTCAGAGGAAACAAAAGAAAAAAGAAAAAAAAAAAAACAATGAAGCAGGCCTACAGGATCTAGAAAATAGCCTCAAAAGGACAAATCTAAGAGTTACTGGCCTTAAAGAGGAGACAGAGAAAGAGATAGGGGTAGAGTGTATTCAAAAGATAGTCAACAGAGAATTTCCCAAACTTAGAGAAAGGTATCAATATCCAAGCACAAGAAGGTTATAAAACACTATGCAGATTTAACCCAAAGAAGATTACCTCAAGGCATAATCAAACTCCCAAAGGTCAAGGATTTAAAAAAAGGATCCTGAAAACAAGAGAAAAGAAATATAACACACAATGTAGCTCCAATACACCCAGCAGCAGACTTTTCAGTGAAAACCTTACAGGACAGTAACATGACATATTTAAAGTGCTAAAGGGAAAAAAAAAATTTTACCCTAGAATGGTATATCTGAGGAAAATATCCTTCAAACATGAAGGAGAAATAAAAACTTCCCCAGACAAACAAAATCTGAGGAATTTCATCAACACCAGACCTGTCCTACAAGAAATGCTAAAGAGAATGCTTCAATCAGGAATAGGACATTAACGAGCAATAAAAACTCATCTGAAAGCACAAAACTCATCGCTAATGGTAAGTACGCAGTAAAACACAGAATATAATGCTTAACGGTGCTGTGTAAACTACTCTTAAATAGAAAGACTAAACAATGAACCAATCAAAAATAATAACCACAACAACTTTTCAAGACACAGATGGTACAATAAGATATAAATAGAAACAATAAAAAGTTAAAAAGCAGGAGATGAAGTTAAACTAAAGGTTAACTTGATAGAGTGTAGAGTTTTTATTAGTTTTCCTTTGCTTATTTATGCAAACAGTGTTGTTATCGGTTTAAAATAACAAGTTATAAGGTAGTATTTACAAGCATCATGGTAACTTCAAATCAAAAAACAAAATAAATACACACACAAAATTTTTTTTTAATTAAATCATATCACCAAAGAAAATCACCTTCACTAAAAAGACAAAAGGAAGGAAGACTACAAAACAACCAAAGAACAAATAACAAAATGGCAGGAGTAAGTCCTTATTTATCAATAATAGCATTAAATATAAACAGACTAAACTCTCCAATCAAAAGGCATAGAATGGCTTAAGAGATTTAAAAAAATAGTAAGATCCCATGATCAGCTGCCTAAAAGAAACACACTTCACCTATAATGATACACAAAGACTGAAAATAAAAGGATGGAAAAAGATAATCCATGCCAATGGAAACCAAAAAGAGCAGGAGTCATTATACTAATATCAGACAAAATAGATTTCAAGACAAAAACTGTAAGAAGAGACAAATAAGGTTACTAATGATAAAGGGGTCGATATAGCAAGAAGATATAACAATTGTAAATATATATGCACCCAACACTGGAGTACCCAGGTATATAAAGCAAATATTAGTAGGGCCAAAAATAGAGATAAACTCCAACACAGTAACAGCTGAAGATTTCAACAACCCACTTTCAGCAATGGACAAATCTTCCTGACAGGAAATCAGCAAAGAAACATCAGACTTAATCTGCACTACAGACAAAATGGGCCTAATTTATAGAACATCTCATTCAATGGCTACAGATACACATTCTTCTCCCGAGCACATGGATCATTGTCAAGGATAGACTTTAGGTTAAGTCACAAAACAAGTCTTAAATCATTAAAAAAAAAAAAAAAAAAAAAAAACCTGAAATAATATCAAGCATCTTTTCTGGCCACAATGGAATAAAACTAGAAATCAATAACAAGAGGAATTCTGGAAACTATACAAACACATGGAAATTAAACAATATGCTCCTGAATGACCAGTGGGGTCAATGAAGAAATTAAAAAAGAAATTTTAAAATTTCTTGGAAAAAACCATACCCAAACCCATGGGATACACTGAAAGCAGTACTAAAAGGAAAGTTTATAGCAATAAGCATCTACATCAAAAAGTAGAAAAACTTCAAAGAAACAATCCAATGATACACTTAAAGAACTAGAAAAGCAAGAGCAAACCAAACCCAAAATTAGCAGAAGAAAAGAAATAATAAAGATCAGGGCAGATATAAATGAAATTGAAATGAAGAGAACAATACAAAACAACTAGGAAACAAGTTGGTTTTCTGAAAAGTTAAACAAAACTGACAAACCCTTAGTCAGACTATCTAGGAAAAAATAGAGAAGACCCAAATAAAATCAAAGATGAAAAAGGAGACATTACAATTGATACAGCGGAAATTCAAAAGGTCATTAGTAGCTACTATGAGCAACTCTATGCCAATAAATTGGAAAATTTAGAAGAAATGGACAAATTCTTAGACACATACAACCAACCAAGATTGAACCATGAAGAAATTCAAAATCTAAATGGACTAATAACAAACAAGGAGATTGGAGCTATAATACAAAGGCTTCCAGCAAAACAAAACAACAAAACAAAACAAAACAAAAAGCAAAAGCTCAAGACCCAGTGGCTTCACTGCTGAATTCTACCAAACATTTAAAGAACTAATACCAATTATCAGGGAAATGCAAATCAAAACCACAATGCAATTCCACCTTACTCCTGCAAGAATGGTCATAATTTAAAAAAATAATAGATGTTGGCATGGATGTGGTGAAAGGGAACACTTTTACACTGCTGGTGGGAATGTAAACTAGTGCAACCACCATGGAAAACAGCTGGAGATTCCTTAAAGAACTAAAAGTGTATCTACCATTTGATCGAGCAATCCCACTACTGGCACACACACGTTTAGAGCAGCACAATTTGCGATTGCAAAAATAAAGAACAGTCCAAATGCCCATGAATCAACAAGTGGATAAGAAAATGTGTGTGTGTATATATATATATATATATATATGTATACATACACACACACTGTGGAATACTACTTAGCCATAAAAAGGAATGAAATAATGGCATTCGAACCAACCTGGATAGAACTGGAGACCATTATTCTACGCAAAGCAACTCAAGAATTGAAAACCAAACATCATATGTTTATAAGTGTAAGCTAAGCTATGAGGACGCAAAGGCATAAGAATGATACAATAGACATTGGGGACTTGTGGGGAAGGGTAAAAGGAGGGTGATAAAAGATATCTTTTGGATAAAAGCCTTTTTAACTGGAAATGGTGGGTAGGGTGGAAGTGGTGATGGTTACTGGGTACAAAAACTAATTTGAAAGAATGAAGAAGACCTAGTATTTGCCAGCACAACAGGGTGATATAGTAAAAAAATAATTTAATTGTTCATTTAAAAATAACTAAATGAGTAAATTGGATTGTCTGAAACACAAAGGGTAAACACTTGAGGTAATGGATACCCTATTTACCCTGATGCGACTACAATGCATTGCATGCTTGTATCAAAATACGTCATGTGGCCAGGTGCAGTGGCTCATGTCTGTAATCTCAGCACTTTGGGAGGCCAAGGCAGGAGGATCACTTGAGCTCACGAGTTCCAGACCAGCCTGGGCAACATGGTGAAACCCTGTCTCTACAAAAAAACTCCAAAATTATCCTGTGTGGTGGCATATGCCTGTAGTCCTGGCTACTTGGGAAGCTGAGGCAGGAGAATCACTTGACACCGCAAGGCAGAGGTTACAGTGAGCCGAGATCACGCCATTGCACTCCAGCCTGGGTGATGGAAGTGAAACTCCGTCTTTAAAAAAAAAAAAAAGCTCATGTAACCCATAAATATATTCATCTACTATGTACCCAGAAAAATTAGAAATTAAATTTTTTTAAAAAACCAGGCGGGGCATGGTGGCTTATGCCTGTAATCCCAGTACTTTGGGAGGCTGAGGCAGGCAGATCACTTGAGGTCAGGTGTTCGAGACCAGCCTGACCAACATGGGGAAACCTTGTGTCTACTAAAAACACACACACAAAAAATAGCCAGGTGTGGTAGTGAGCACCTGTAATCCCAGCTACTCAGGAGGCTGAGGCAGGAGAATTACTTGAACCCAGGAGGCAGAGGTTGCCGAGAGCTGAGATCGCAGCAACAGAGTGAGATCCATCTCAAAAACAAAACAAAAAAACCCATGTAAATAATAAGAATAGTAACTAACATTTGTTGAATGCTTACCAAGGGCTAAACATTGTACACAAAGCACTGTCAAATCATGTCTCATTCAGTCCTCACAGTAACTGTCTGCAGCAGATGCTACTATGAGCTACATTTTACGCATGCGGAAACTGAAGAACAGAGAAGTTAACCTACACTCAGTAAGAAATCAACAAACGATTTGAAGCTGGGCAGGCTGACCTTCCAGAATACACATGCTTTATAACACGTGTCACCCTGGATTAAGCATGTGAACTGAACTTCGGCCACACTAGTCACGGCAAGACGTAGACTTTTAGCAATGGACTCAAAATGCTGTATGCATAATGACTGAACAATAAAACAGAACAATCCAGTGAATCCTCAGCTCACAAATCACCAAGCCCTGTACCAGCAAAAAATGGAAAAATGTGTATTAACATATAGTATCTTTGATCTAGATTTTATTTCAAGTATCATCCTTATTATAAAACATACTCACAAACATTTCCAGTAGTGCATCTGTTACTATTTGAACTATGTCTTCTGCACGGGTGATAGCTAGTGGGATGCTCTCTATTTTGCCTTCTGTGTGTCTGGCAAGCAGAAGGGCTGGAAGACTTGCAGCATATTTGTTTGACCTATGGAGAAAGGTAGTATTAAAATTCATGATCAAAATCTAGCATGTCAAAAACATGAAAATCTAGGCTAGGAGATCACAGTGCAAGGCAGCAAATGGGAAGTCCTACTGCTAAGGAAAAAAATGAACTCAATTTCCAAACAAACTTATCTTCTATGACAACCTACATTAAAAGAAAGCAACAGGTAATAATCTATAACAAACTAGATTTTTTAAAAGCAACAAGGCAGTAATCCAGCCAGATTTTTTTCTATACAGCTTACTCAACAAGAAAATAAATCAGATTTGGAACACAGTGAATGGTTCTCGACCTTTCTGGACTTGCTCACCACACTGCTGAGTAAGAAAATGGGCATTTATGAGAAACCTACTATCTGCCAGGCACTATACTAGGTATTTCAATTATGTTTTTATTTAACTTTCAGAACTAAAGTGGTCATTATGATCTCACTTTGCAGATGAGGAAATAGGACTTAGAGAGTGATAAACGGCAGACACAGACTTCAAATGAGGTGTCCCTGACACACAGTCTGTTCCTGACATAGTCTGTACTCTCTCCACTGAAACAAGAGCCCAAATCCACCCTCCCACAATCCCTTTCACTAACTAAACCTAAAAGAAAATTATCTAAATAGGAAGAAAGCTTTGTGTAAAATTACTAGTGAAGTAGTCATGTATAATAACTTAATTCACGCCAGAACAAAGTATAGACATTATAATAACGTAAGCATTAGTTGAGAGGCCAGTTTTCAGATCACTTAAAGGAACCTCTTAGTCGACCAGCTGGTTATAAACAAAACACTGAAAACTACTGGTCTAAGTTTTTGGACCACAGCTAAATGCACAATGACAGCAGAGTAGAAGATTGTGGGTGATTACCCATTGTCAGATGGACAGTCCTCATATTTCCTTCTTCAATATATACTTTATGAAAATCAGTGATTTCACATATAGAACAAAAGCCTGATCACCAAGAGCATATGTCACCAGTGTTCAAGATGGAAGATTTAAGCTTAGATATCACAATTAGGAATTTGTAGTCAGAAGCTAAGACAGACCAACTACTGGGGCTTAGTATGTACACCTATACCTGAAAATGGGCCATAGAGAATGTGATGTGTATTAATAATAATCTCCAAATTTGCAGTTCAGTCCTTCATTCTATAGCAACTAAAATATTTTGGTAGTCTATAGAAGTCCCATCTTCTAGAGATAACGTAATTTAAGAGGCTAAAAAAGCACTGATTTTTATACACACACACACACACCCACTCACCCACCCAGGGGGTAAATAAAAACTCAGATGCTCAAAAAGTAAAATTTATCCCAAACTATTATAACTCCAAAGAACCACATTGTAGGTAACAGAACCCAAAGAGTAATATTTTTAGAGGAGGATGGTGAGGTACGAATCCAAGATTGTCCCATGGGGGCTTTGGTCTAAAGTAAAAGAGAATCTAAAGAATCTATGGTACTTCCCAGGTACTTTATTTCCTAGAAGGAAATAAAAAAAATTTCTTTAGATTGCTATCTTATTTTCCTCCATCAGCTGTGTAAATATAAGCAATTATTAGATAACATTATTTTGCATAATTTCTTCTTCCCTAAAATTAAAAGAGCAATAAACTTACAGTAGCAAAACATCTTCTTCAGAATAAATTCCAGTGATAACATATCCTTTTAGGTCGTTTCCTGCTTCACTAAAATCTTCTTTTGCTATAAATACATAGAGAAGACAGAAATCTGAAACCTTTATAATTGTGTATGCTATTCAACTGATGAAGAGATTTATAGATGGTAGTATTCCATTATTAATTAATTACAAATATAAATATTTAAGTGCAGAAGACTTATATAATTTAGTGGTTCCAAAATAAATCTGTATTCTCTTTATGGCATGGGATTACTAAAGAAATGTCAATTGATAGAATGCAACATGGTTTCCAAAACAAATGTACTTCAAATGCAATTCATAAGATTTATAGCACTCTAATCATAGTTACTGAATAAATACTTCTTGCCTTTTAATTTACTCCTATGGCAGAGTAAATGGAGACAGCTGTCTTATGTGTAGCCTGAAAAGAGAAGTAGGTATGTAAAATGACATGCAGATTATAACCATAAAATCTAAAAGTATCTATATGCATAAAAAAACAGAAGACTGAAAATTCTAGCCCTCTAACAGTGTCTGTGTTAGGGTTGTGCAATTATAAGGGATTCTGTGTCTTTTAAAAAAACAATTCCTACATTTTCTCTAATGTGTTTTCATTAGTTTTGAACTTTAATTTGTATTGTCTTTTCTCATTTGTTAGAATGTACATATTCAAAATACAAACTATTTCTATAAATTTCTGAATACATTTTCATAAATAATAGCATACTCTGGATCTTGTTAATAATGACTATCCTATAACCAAGAAGCAAGTCTGAATTAAATCATTGTAGACTAATGAGAAAAGCACAGAGGTGGACTTATAGGTCAAATTCTTGCCAAGTGAAGGCCAAATGATAGTTCAATTCATACATGAAAGATTCATAGCAGTCAAATAGAAAAATGCCGATGGAAGAATGAGTCACACAGCACCTACTAGGCTAGGCATGCTGAACCCAAAGATCTGTACCTCAGCAGTCAGCACTACATTCATGATGTAAGCATTCAACATTGTCAACATCGGGTAACCACAAGATTATTTTCTTTAAAAAGGGTACATACTTTCCGTAAGATTGAGCAATACTGTCTGTAGGAAAGCAAACTTACTAGAGTAGCTCAGTAGGCAGCACAGGGAACTCATTTATAATCACAGCTTTAATGAGAAAACAGGCCAGGTGCGGTAGCTCACACCTGTAATCCCAGCACTCTGGGAGGCAAGGTGGGTGGATCACTTGAGGACAGGAGTTCGAGATCAGCCTGGCCAACATGGTGAAACCCTGTCTCTACTAAAATACAAAAATTAGCTGGGCATGGTGGCATGTGCCTGTAGTCCCAGCTACTCAGGAGGCTGAGGCATGAGAATCGCTTGAATTTGGGAGGAGGAGAATGCAGTGAGCCGAGATCGTGCCCCTGCACTCCAGCCTGGGCGACAGAGAGAGACTCCGTCTCAAAAAAATATATATATATATTTTAGCCCATGCTACATCAAAGTAGAAAAGACTCATAAGATTATAAACTAGAAATGACTGGGTGTCTGTACTTTCATTTCTAAGAGAAAACAGAGTGAAATTCCAGTCAATAGATAAACTATATCTAAAGCAATGGCATAACAGAATCTGTTTCAGCTTCATTTTAGGTAAGTAGCAGTAGAAAAGTACACCATTATTTCCATATAATTTCCTCATACAAAAGACTCTCTACTTATGAATATGTCTCTTGAAAAGTCTCTTCATAAATCCATGTGTTTGTAAATCCTAAGTGACTCACAGGATGGAAAAATCTATGACTGTAGATCTCAGATGCATATTCATTTCCACTAAACTAGAATACATATTTTCCTCTGAACATTAAAAACCAGGCATATTCTCCTCCTTGCTAAAAACTGCATATATGTCAAAATATATGGCAACCTCAAATACAAGAAAGTACTCAATTATCTAAATAAAAAGATGCATAAAAAGCTTTTCAGCTACTATAAATATATTTTAATTGTATAAAATAAACACATTTATTTAGCAATATTGATTTTTTCTATCACATCTTATTGAATAATTATTTTTATAGACACACATATATACATACATCTGTTTTTTACCTCCGTCAGCAGGGAGAGTTGAGAGCCAAGAAAACCTCAGTAACTAAAAGCACTCCTAACCCGTATATTATACAAACTAGATAAAAGAGATGGATAAACTCCTGGACACATACACCCTACCAAGACTGAACCAGAAAGAAACTGATTCCCTGAACAGACCAATAACAAGTTCCGAAATTGAATCAGTAATAAATAGCCTACCAACCAAAAAAAAGCCCAGGACCTGATGGATTCACAGCCAAATTCTACCAGACGTACAAAGAAGAGCTGATACCATTCCTACTGAAACTATTCCCAAAAATTAAGGAGGAGGGACTCCTCCCCAGCTCATTCTATGAGGCCAGCATCATCCTGATACCATAACCTGGCAGAGACACAACAAAAGAAGAAAACTTCAGGCCAGTATTCCTGATCAACATTGAAAGTCCTCAACAAAGTACATGCAAACTAAATCCAGTGGCACATCAAAAAGCTAATCTACCACAATCAAGTAGGCTTCATCCCTGGGATGCAAGGTTAGTTCAACATATGCAAATCAATAAATGTGATTTATCACATAAACAGAACTAAAGACAAAAATCACATGATTATCTCAATAGATTCAGAGAAGGCCTTCAATGAAATACCCCTTCATGTTAAAAACTCTCAATAATACTAGGCACTGAAGAAACACACCTCAATAAGAGCCATCAATGACAAACCCACAGTCAACATCATACTGAATGGGCAAACGTTGGAAGCAATCCCCTTCAAAACTGGCACAAGACAAGGACGCCCTCTTTCACCACTCTCATCCAACACAGTATTGGAAGTCCTAGCTGGAGAAATCAGGCAAGAGAAAGAAAAAAAGAGCATCCAGGCTGGGCGCAGTGGCTCACGCCTGTAACCTCAGCACTTTGGGAGGCCGAGATGGGAGGACAATGTGAGCTCAGGAGTTTGAGACCAGCCTGGGTAACATGGCTAAACCCCAGCTCTACTAACAATACAAAAATTAGATCTCTGAAAGGAGAATTATAAAACGCTGTTCAAAGAAATCAGAGAAAACACAAATAAACAGAAAAACATCCCAAGCTCATGAATGGGAAGAAACAGTATCATTAAAATGGCCATACTGCCCAAAGCAATCTACAGATTCACTGCTATTCCTATCAAACTACCAATGATATTTTTCACAGAACTAGAAAAAAAGTATTTTAAAAATCGTATGAAACTCAAAGAAGGTTAAACATTATTTTTTGACAGTGTTTTTCACGTAATTTTACATAATAAATAAACCTGTTCATTCTCTCTCTTTTGGATCTGCAGGCGCCCTCTGTAACGTTCCAAAGTCAGTTTGAGGTCAAAAAGACTTAATTTTAAACTTGATTTTGGGAAGCCTATTAAATATGTCAAAAGTCTAAACCACTTATCAAAATAGATCACAGGTCGCTGTAAAATAAATCATTTGTTTAACCAAAGTGATAATTAAAAGGTTTTAAAAAGCAAACAACTTCATTTGTTGATTAAAAAAGGACTCAGTTTTTAAAAACAATTAAAGGACCTAATAAAGATAGAATATGTCTCCTCTTTCTCTCTTTTTTGAGAGTTTATTCAAAAGGTGAATAAAAGTGTTTTATTCTCTTATTACATGAAATTTATGTGCAAAAGAGAAAACTAAATTTTTGTTCTTGTATTAGTGTATGATCAATTCTAAAGCTGATTTTAATAAAAACTTATAAACAAATCTCATTTCAGTCAGCTTTTAATAACACAAGATTTTAAAATAAACTTTTTGTAATCTCATAAAATTTTGAAGTTTTCTTTAACTTTCTACAATTTATTTAATCTATATCTTTTTTATTCTTTTAATTTGAAACAATCTTTAAGTAACTTCTAAACTAAATTTTTTTCTCACATTTTTATGCCTTTATAACTTTCCTCACCGAAAATATATCTTGCTTTTTTAATAGACTCTTTATTTACAATTCTCTTACATTTAATAGTTTTAATTATATTAACTATAATTTTGACTCTTAGTAACCCAAAATCTAGCAAAAACCTAGAAATTAATTTTGAACTGTTTTATATCAATATTTATAGATGAAAACCATTTTATAATTTTTAGAAAGATATTTTAATTTTATTAACAAATCTATTTAGCTTTTTTATATCATGTAAAAATAAGATGTCAAAGTACATAAACAAACATATTTAATAATGAATGTTTTAGTATTTTAACTTATTTAGGAATGACTCAGACATTTCATTATTATTTAACATGACTTTAAGATTTTTGATTATTGGAAAATAAATAATGACACAGGTACCCTCCTAAATGTCTTTCTCAGCTGTACTGAGCACCCATGTGGCACCCAATGCTTATAAAAGGCAGGGCTCTTTTGGGTCCTAAATTTACACACCAGATGCCAGGACAGAAGACAGGGCTGTGAAAAGGATGTCTGGAGAATCTGACCACTCCCAGCATGGCCATGAGGCAAATCCGGGCCAAGCAAGCAGGAACAAGGGGCCCCGCAGCGGGTGACCTAAGCATTGACAACATGCCTCCAGGCCTCACCGTGGCCACCTGTCCAGACCCCAAAATCTTGAAGCTCAAAACCAAAGACCAGCTTATAATAAGATGTATGCAAATCTCTGGGGAAGCCCAACAGCCAGCTTTAGCCCACAGACAAATCAAGTAAGTGCCAAAAATATCATAGAAAATTAGCAGTTTTATGACCTTAAAACATGTAAAGACAGCAGAAACCTGTCTGACCAGTAGACCCAGGCAAAAATGTCTGAATTATATTTAAGTTACACTCTTAAAGCCATTTTTATTTTACTTTGTTAACAACTTTAAAACTAGCTTTACCAAATATCATACAAACATAACACATACAGACATAGAGACATATAGACAGGAGCAGATTTGATGGCTCTTATAAAAAAAATTTCATTTGCTGGCTTTTAAATGGTTTCTCTTTTCTTTTTTTA